TATATATATATATATATATATATATATATATATATATATATATATATATATTTTCATCCCAAACACTAACTTAGGTATCGAGAGACTATATCAAAATCTCATCCGACCTCAATCTTCTTGTAAATTAGTATCATATCGAGCATCCGAACACTCGTTGTGTAAGGGCTCTTTACACATACGGGTCCGAACCAAATATGACTAATTCAAAAGATGATCGACATCTACCCTAACAATTATCATCGTTATCATTGATAAGGCTGGTTTAATTAGGATGGTAAGTAAAGATGCTATGCATCATCAAGCCTTTAATCTATGAGCAATCCAACTCAATCATCTTTAATTCTTTCAACTATTTTCGACAGTAAATCTTTTAAAATTGCTATAAGAGTCTGCCATAACTCTTGGATGTGTCAACGTTGATATCATATCATGGCAAACATGGATTATGGTACTTGCACGTTTCATGCGTGCCATCATTCGGACGAACGGCACAAATGTTACTTTCACGTCACCGACGACACATCAACAAAATCACCAGCTTTATTCATCTAATTTTGATCGATGTGATTTCATGATCAATAGTTGGAAGCGGTTGGTGTGCAATTGCATCATAAATACGAGGACAAGAAGTTCTATAAAGCCTTCATTTCATGCGAGCCGAAGAGGAGGGCCCAAAGCCACCATTTTGGATTCCTTGGTTGACTTTCCATCAAACACCTTTGCTCATCCAATTATTTTGTGATAGCAACTGTTCAACAATATACAAAAAGATACCTTTTCTTTTTTATCCTTTTCATTTGATTTGGACTGACATTACTCGGTAGGAGAACGATTAATATCATATAAACTTTGATATTTATAAGACATATGAGTTAGAAAAACTCAACTCACATGAAAACAAATCAACTAATCATAGTCCATCCGACATATGCATTCTACGTGACATCCAGGTTAAAAAAAATTGAAATAGAAGTTTACACCATCAATTTGCGACAAGAGTCTAAAATAGTAAATTGTAGACTGTATTCTCTTTTTATCCCATATGAAAAAAAGATCGATTGAGAGCTACCTCCTCATATAATATTTTATAAGATATTCTCCCCCTTTATGATCAATACAAGAGCTCATTTTAATGTAATATTAAAGGATTATTTTTTTTCACCACTTAGCATCCGCATAAACTTATCTTAGGTTACTAATTCGAAAAATCTCTCACAGTCTTAGTCTTCGTACAAGTAATACATCGGGAGCTAAACTTTTTTTTATCTTGGAGACACCTTAGATAATATATATATATATATATATATATATATATATATATATATATATATATATATATATATATTTCCAAATCACATTGGGCTTATTAAGATGTTAATGACATATTTTCATAATAATTATGAATCATTATTAGCATTGCTTGACATTGTTTATAATTTATTTTTATCAAACAATAATAAAATTAATAACTTTTCATTATTAAAAAGTTTCCCTATTTTTGCATGACCAAACTTTTCATTATATAGCTCATCAAGCTTAAGATCAAAGTTCACCAAAGTTTGCAACAAAACATGTTCTCACAACCTATTAGAATGTATGATGAGGGAAGGGATAAAGTGACACGTCTTCTTATATTATGATTGCAAAACAACTAAATTTCTTTGGCTATTATCTATAAAGACTTTACAATTGATTTGTAAATAATGGAGTTGTTTATTTGATGTATTTAATGGATGATTAACTAATCTATACACTTAATATGTAAAGTTGATAAGTGGAAACTAGGTAATCTCCATTAGTCATTCAAAGTGATATTTTTTTAAGGATTCAAAATCTTATTCGATATATTCGATAAATAGACATCTTAAAAACTGATCTAATTATGATGTATCTATCGGACATAATTATTAAAGATTAGAGATTCAAAATCTAATCTCACTTGTGCAAGTATATTGGTAATATAATTAGAATCTCTCTCCTTGTGTGCTTAGTGAGTGAGTAGATTTGATTTAGACATCTTTGAATTATTTTTAATATTAGAATTTAAGAAAAAGATTTCAGAGATGCTTTATGAAATATTTTTCAAATTAAAACTTTGACTTCAACTATATTACAACATAGAATCATTTTCAAGAACTCTTTTTTTTATTTTTGTGGCATTCATAATTCTAATAAAAGCTTGTTGCATTGGATAGGAATAACTCATAGTTGATGACTTAAAGCATCACTTGAAGCTAAACAAACATTTTATTTTCAATTTATAATTTTATAGTGATTAAATGGCATTAATCCACATAAATTAATCTAAAATTTATAAAGACATTCATGATATCTATAAATTAAAAAAAAAAATAAGTGAAACATATTTCATAATGTATTAATGAAATTGTTCCTTAAATAACAAATTATTTTTTTGAGGAGAAAACAAATTTATATCATTGTTTAGATAATCCTAAATGGATTTGGAACATTATTTAGGATTGCTGCTTGGGTTTGGGTTTCTACAAACGATACCTCAAATTCTTCAGACCCACTCTCAGCGACTTACCGATGTCTATGAGCCGGACTATTAAGTTTGTGGGCCCCAACTTATTCGCAAATGGTGCAGAAGTAGGTACAAAACATAAGTACAGAAACATTATCCTTAATGTAAAGCACCTCATTTTTATGGTCGTCATCAATATTTCGCTATGGAAATCAAACGATTGAAACCCTAACCCTAAGATGGTCGAGTGAGACTGGTGGCCGAAGCCGGTGGAATCGCCGGAGGAGGAGGAGCGACTTTAAGTATAACGGGAACACGGTCTTAAAAGCCGGTGAATACTTTATGGTACTGCCGCCCTCGACACGCAGGTCGTCAACCTGGAACCCGGCAATCCCACTCTCTACAGGTTCGAAATCGATCTTCCCTTGTTTGGGCCCTCACTTGTTGTTTTGCTTCCTGATGTACCACGAGGAAAGAAAGACTCTTGGAACTGCTAGGCTTTCTTTAGATTCGGGATTTGTTACATTCATTGAAGACGGCTCGTTTTTGGTCAATCTTTTGCTCTTTATGTCATGTCGATGCCTTGTTATGTTCGATGCCAGACTTAAATTTGGATCTTGGATGCAACATTTTCAGAAAGATCGTTTATTTTATTTTCTATTTGCCAATAGTTTATTCGGACATCCATTCCAGGAAAGGATATGTTTTGGAAGCATTGGAGCGTTATGGTTATGAGATGGGGCATCAAAATTATGATTCGAAAGCGCTTTTCCTTGAAGCTTGCATCTCACATCAAAATTATCTTCTAATTGTTACAAAATGTTGGACCAATGGCCTCTGGAAGACGTAGCCTGTTCATGAATTAGATAAACGACTAATTCTGCCTTTGCCATATGCGTGTAGTTTTTCTAGACCTCTCTCTCCATTTTGCTTTTTGCATCTACGGTAGGGTTTAAATACTAGTCTGATACTGGTTTTTGTAACCAATTGGACCAGTTGGTACTAGTATGTAATTGTATACAATAAAGTATTTAAAAATGAATGAGACATATATCGAAATCCAGCTATATGCCTCGCTGCCAAGATTCGGATGGACTGGTGGACACCGGTCGCCACATACTGGTCATTGCTTGTACAAAAGGATCCTTAATAGTGCGTGATTTAGAAGACATTTTTCAGGTCCTCAATTACATATTTTTTTAAAAAGTTTTAAGATGCCATCTTATCGTAGATATGTGAGAGATGCCTTCATTAGTCATTCTTGCACTGCCTTGGATTGTTTGATCGAAGGTTCTCTAGAATAATCTTTTTTTTTCGATGTGAAATCCTTTGAAATAAAAAGCAAGTAACAAACTGGTGACACTGTAGGAGCTTTTGAAGATCTGGTTCTAGATTTGTGCCATTTCTAGAAGTGACAATTTTGTATCAGATTAAGTTATCCAGTGATAATTCAGACAGCATGGAAGAAGTGACAATTCGATAAGGAAGCTTTGAAGTCTGAGGTGACTGTCTTTTGAGAGTAGTCAGTTCCTATACTTGTCTCTCATTTTTATAGGACAGTTTAGTGGTCACGGAAGATCTCGGTGCCACTATCAGCTTATGGAACATGAGACTGGTAGGTATTAGTGCCTTCTTCTATTGCTTCACAGATGAATTTTGTGGCAGTAATGGTCTATTACAATTGTCTGCAGACAACAGTTCATGAGTTCTTGTCATAGATTACTGCTGGTCAAAAACAAGTAACCATTGTGTTCTATTGGAAACAGATCATCTATTTCAACTATTTGGATTCTTTGTTTATTCTTCTTTCCTTTCTTTAGTTCTTTCTTACTACTGCAAGTCACCATTCTAAGGACCCACAATGTTTAATATTGTGGTAGGTCAAAAACTTTGGGAGTTTCCATTCAGAACATAGTTCAAGGACTCTACATTCTGGGTGTTCCCAGTGCGGATAATTAATATCTTCCAAGTAAGGTACTTGCTGTGTGCAGTTTGGAAATTGTCTCATTATGCATCGATATATCAAGTTGTGTCTACAAGTGATCTGCATCCTCATGAGAAGTTAAACACTGAAGAATGTAGAGCTAGTGATGAAGATTCTCAGTGCATCAATGTATGATAAATAAATTGTTCCAGCATTTTCTATTTTTTGCTGATTATGATTGTTCTTGTCCAACAAACAAGGTTATTTGATCTCCTCCTTTGAGTTGAGTTGACTCCTCTTTCAATGTTCACTGGTAAGGAAATTGTTGCACTTCTCTTGAAGCTCTGCATAACCTTTATTTTGGATCCTCTTCACTTAAATAAGGTTATTGGATTCTTACCTGCAGGAACCAGCACTGCAACCATGCCTCACTATTTTGATAGGCAGATGCAAGAAGCTTGTTTGAAATAGCTTTGTTCATCTTCTCAATAGCTCAGTTCAAACTTCCATGCATTGGCAAGCACTTGATGAAAATTATAAAACTTTGTTCAGGTTCTAACACATGATGGTAGGCAGACAGAGAGCAGTTACTGAAACTTTTGTGGATACTTTAATTAAGTTATTTATATAATTTATTTCATATATATTTCATAAGCTGGAATAGCTCAGTTGGTTAGAGCGTGTGGCTGTTAACCACAAGGTCGGAGGTTCAAACCCTCCTTCTAGCGAATAAATTTTTTTACCATATTAATAAATATAAAATTTATATTAAAAAAATAATTTTGATATGAAAAATGTATCCATAAACTTCAGATGTTGTTTTTGTAAAATATACTTGTGAATTATTTTCCTTCTAACAAATTATCTAATAAAAGTTATAGAAGCAGATTAAAAAAAATATAATTTTTGATACGAAAACATTTAGGTATCAATTTATTATTAATTTTTTTGTAAAACATGATTGTGAATTATTTTGCCTCTAAAAATATTTTCATGATTTAATAAATATCAAAGTTACAGAAGCATGTAAAAAGAAGTATAACATATTCATTATATATGAAAATATGTTCATAAATATCAGATGTTGTCTTGACAAAACCTAATTGTGAATTAATTTTTAGAAATGACTTTGATATTATATATATATATATATATATATATATAAAGTGTTGCATGTTAATTTTATATGAAAACATATTCATAAATATCATATCTTGTTTTGGTAAAGCATAACTTTGATATGGTCCATCAAGAACTAGAGCTCAATGGATGGGTTTGGGAACCCCATGTGATCAGCTCCATCAAAAACTTGAAAGGCATCCATCCTAAAGTTGTGTGATTCTGATGTTTGTACTCTCAAATCTGAAAACAAACATGCAATTTATCATCTGAAGTTTTTGGGCATACATACAATTGTGCAATATCCATCACACACACAAGATTTAGAGATCACTTCACAGGACAAGGATGATCTATGGATGGACACTGACACTTGCCTCTTGAAGCCACCAAAGGTTGGCTCACTTGCACTCTTGGTTTCTCCTTTTGCATGCCATGTGTGACACACACACAATGACTGTGCCATTTGCATGTCTTTGCTCTGTGCTTCCCACATCAGCTTCAAGTTCTTTCCATGCCAAATTAGTGCAGTTTGTATCCATGAACCCTTGTTGAGTGTCAAAGATTTAATGACACTTAATTCCTCCAGAAGAACTTCACAGACCGTAACCTTTACTAGCAAATCAAGGCTTTTACATCTTTTTGATATCACCATTATGTCTTTGAAATCAAGAAATGATTTGTGAATCCAATACTTGTAAAATCTAATCTCTCTTCAGTTGTAAAATGGATCATAATTGAATTGATTATAGCATCCTCTGACTTATAATTGAAAATGTGTATATATTTCAGCATCAGTATTCAGTACATCTGATTTCTCATGCTTCAGTAAAATCTCAGTTCTCACTAGCTTTCCATGCTATTTTCCTCTGCATCTTATCGATTGCCTCAAGTGCATCATCAACCTATGAAATCAATCACCTTACACAAATCCTTGAGTGACCAGACTGAAAATTTAAATGACAACATATCGATCGGTATGCTTTCTTCTTTAATCAGCATCTGTAAAACTTTTTCGTATAAAGCTGAAAGAAAATGGATATTGGATTTCTTGTGCCTGTTGTCGGACCACAGCAATTCAATGATCACGAAGCAAGAAAAAGGGAAGGCCACTGCACTGATCATGAAGCAAGAACTGGACCACAGCAAGTCAGGTTTTGCTGATTCTAGGGTTCCTAATGGCATGCATCCTTTTGAAATGAGCTCACAGTTGATGCATCACCTCCATTTTGGCTTGTTTGGCCTTTCTTCTATAGAAACATTATGTTTTCTCGATCAAAAGCTAAGCAAATAGAGGAGACAAATTGATGGAGCTTGTTCTTAATTAATCGATCGATCAAACTAGATGTATGACGCATGTATTGCACGATAAACTAAGATATACGCATGCACGCTGCACTAGAAAATTAACCATGTGCCCATCCTTGTACAAGAAGCCAAAAAATTTTGAAGAGGGAGGAGCACACTCCATCTGATCCCCTCTTGGAAGCCATAAACTATGTTGATCTCAACCTAGGTTAATTTGCATCCATCTTGGAGTAATATACTTACATGTAGAAGCTACTACGTGCAGTCCAATATCTATTATTTGGGCTTTGGCTTAAATATATATATTTTGTGTACCACCACCATCAACACTTGATTTCTTTCCTTGTGAGAGATTTCTATTGCACCATCACTCCCAACACCTCATCCTCTATAAATCCAGATGGTGGGGGTGAGTGCTATGGGTGTGGCATACTCCTATCAGCTTCCTTCACTAGCTAGGGCATGATGTTTTACCTTTGTACTTTTGGTTTAGTCTGTTCCTCATGTGCTTTATGATGTGTTTATTCTTGGCTTTCTCCTATCCTCTTCATCTAGTCTAGGTTTCTTCTGGTTTGGTAGTTGCACCCACGCATCTTTTTCTTTCCTTTCTGATCTTTTTCTTGTCATCTCTCTTGAGATATAGTTTTCAGTAGAGTGATTGTTCTTGTGGTTGTATCCGATTAGATGTTTGTGAGATTTTAGTGTGTTTGTGGCAGGAGTGTAAAGGTCATAAAGCTTTAAATTTGTTTATTCTTTCTTTGTTTGTGTCTTTCAAGAATTCACATGGTTCTGCAACATCAATCTATCTTCACCTAAGATATGATTCATGCTAGCTTTCAATGATTCAGTCCTTGGCCCACCCTCCTTTTCCTTTCTGAATGGCTGGCATAAGTATCATAACATATGCCCTTGATCACAATGCCTTTTCCTCTCTCTCTCTCTCTCTCTCTCTCTCTCTCTCTCTCATGCAACTATACTCCATACTTGTTTTGTGCCTGAGAAATGCCCAAGGGAATGATGAAGCTGCCAGGCAAATCCTCATCAAGTAGAAAAGTTTATCAGGCAAATCTCACACTCCATAACTCACTATCACTATGACCTAAACCATGTTTGGTCATAGTAATCATTTTAACACTTGCCCAACTAAACATTAGATATGATATATATATATATATATATATATGTATAAACTGGTAGAAAGTTGGATCATTTTAAGAACAACAAATTCATAGTTATAGCAGTTCTCTCAGCTTCTTGAGAAGAGAAAATTTTACTTACCAATTCTCTTAGAACTCTTCTCGCGAACTAAATTCGTTTAAAGCAATTAGTCTCCCTCAACTTCTTGATCACAGTAATAACTTGTGTGAGAAGTGCAGATTGCAGTGTTTCTCTCGGTAATAAGGTTTCACATCAAAAGGTGAAGGCAGACTTGAAAAGCGACATTGATCATGTAACAAATATACAAGTAATGCTGCACCTCAGTGCAATTCTTACCATAATTAATCTATTTGGGATATGACAGACATATACAAGGAAAATATGACTAACATTGTTTCAACCATACAGCTATGATCAGATTATTTATGAGCATATAATTTGTTGAAAACTATGTGAAGAATGTTTAGACTGTCATCTTAAACAAGTGAAAAGAATAGCCACTTGCTGTTTCTTTGTGACTTGCACTCAGTATATAGTAAGCATATACTACCAAACTAATGATTTTTAGTTCATACAAACAAGTTCATGCTCTAACTTCAGCTGTATTGGTAGCATATACTACCAAACTAATGATTTTTAGTTCAGCTGCATGGATCAAAAGTCTTAACTTTTTCCAAGTTCGAGGCATAATCTTACATTTTTGTGGCCCATTTTTACACCAAGCAGATGCTGAAAGTTCCTCATCTAGTAATTTTCTTATTGCCAAGTTTTTTTTTTATCTTGCAAGGATAGTAAAACGACCGCAGTTAATATGAGGAAGAGATTAATCATAGCCCATGGCAAAGTAAATGTACATTTTCATCAAAAAATCATGCTAATTTTGGTTGACTTTTCTGAAATGAAATAGAAAGCAAAAGACACCTGAAAGAAACCTGAGTGTACAACTGACTGTATGAGCTTAGAACAAGTGCAAATCTTTTGCTGACATGTTTTCTTGTCTCTAACAACTCTCTCAGTCCCTTTAATCTTTTTGTAGATTATAATTTCCTTGTTCCCAAAAGCAGATTCTCATCTGACACATCACTTTCTTAATTGCTCGAATTAGGCTGTTGATGGTGTGTACTGATTTCAGTATGCTGCCGTATAGGAAATCTGCACCAGACAGCTGCTTTAAGCAATTGATAGAACAGCAGCAGCATCATATGAGAATGATGCTGCATAGTATAATGCGTATTGGGAATTGGGAAAGAACATGATAGATTGAGATTCAAAAATTATGTGTAATAAATCAAATTGGTGCATACATACATACCAACCAGACTCAATTCCTTTAATGAATATTTTCTAAAGCAAATTTATCTTTATTCACTCAAAAAAAATTTTGTTTTTTTGTGAATGATCAACTCAAGTAAATCGAGTCGATCCAACGAGAATTGGTGAAGTATTTAGCAATTGAATTGGTGAAGACTAATTTCTTTTGCATTGAAATTGTTATCAGTATGTAGTCTACCTCTTAACTATTGACTACTATATGTGCATAAAATCATAATGAGTTGACCGACCCATTGATTACAAAAGTTGTAATAGACAACAACATGCAATGTTCATTGTAACCTATGAATTGTTTAGGAAAGCAAAGATTCCAAAGATGAATGAGTTTATTCTCTCCCATTCCCACCCAAGAGAGATCACATGTACTCGTTGATATGCTCTCCTCATCCTTTAACCTAGTGAAGTGTGAAGCTCTGTGAGAACCACATGCAGGCCCAGGCAAGATGGTCCCATGCATCTCTCTCTCTCTCTCTCTCTCTCTCTCTCTCTGTGTCTCCAAGTTAATAAGCTCCAGCATGCATGACATTATTCATTGTTGTCTTTTGATTCTGGACCACGCTTTTGCACTATTCTTAGTCTTCCTTTAGCCTTTAAAGCTAAACCAGACTACC